CAGTTTCTCAGTACTGCCCACTGAAGACCCCCAACTTAGTGGTGTCTCCCCACCTTCCTTCCTGCAATGCTATCCCTCAGTAGCCTGCTTCACCCACCCCAACCAGCTCCCCATGTCTATAGACTTGAGGTAACATCGTTGTGTGCATTTATGGTTGTGGGTCTCTTCTGGAGCCCTGTACTGTTTTATCCCCAGGGTCCAGCCTGAGGCAGGCAGGGAGGAGCAACTAACTAAGAGTTTGTGGAATGAATAAAAGTTTGGAGCAAAGGGGAGCTGTGATTGTTGTTGGCTTATCCATTCCCTGTGACAAGGACAAGTAACTGGGAAGGGAGGCCCAGTGTCCAGGTGTTACAATGTAAACCTCAGGGCACAGTCTGTATGTCACATGCTAAGGAGTTTGTTTTCAAATCCGCCTGTTTGGGAAAAGAGGTGAGAAATCAGTCTCATGACTAGAGCAGTGTTTTGGGACAGCCTCATGGTGTTGAAAAGGGAGTCCTGACCTTGCTGAGGAAGGAGCTAGGGCAGAGCTAACTGTGAAGAGGCCTATACCTCAGGGAGGCCAGTGACAGTGTGGAAGGCTCACGGGCCTTAGGATCTCAGCAGACTGGGTGTTCCTCCTGTGCAGGGGACTCTCCAGCACCTCTCCTCTCCCACTGCCTTCATCTCTAAAGTGCAGTAAATCCTGGGCCATCAGGCCAGCCTTGGGACTGAGCGGGGTGGACGGTGCAGCCACATCTGTGCCTGAAGATGACCAGCTGGGGACCAAGTAGTCAAACGTGAGTTTATAGGGCCTGTTCCTACTCATACCACCGCCCAGCCCTACCTCCTGGCCAGAGACCCGCCTGAAGGGATGATGGAGCAGTCAAGCCAGTGTCAGTGACCATGGTTTCCTCTCAGCCCAGTCCTGGCCCCCTTCCTCCTCTGTGTAATCAAAGGGCAAAACAAAGGCTTACTATAGATGGAAGGTGTTGACTCCTGAGTTTCCCTGGGGCATTTGTGGTAGAAATACCTTACAGGAGCCGGGCAGCAGTGGTGCACACCTTAAATCCCAGCACTCAGGAGGCAGAGCCGGGCGGATCTCTGTGAGTTCGAGACCAGCCTGATCTACAGAGTGAGATGCAGGACAGCCACCAAAACTACACAGAGAAACCCTGTCTCGAAAACCAAAAAAAAAAAAAAAGAAAGAAAGAAAAAGAAGGAAATATCTTGCAGGAATGCCTCTCCTCAGAGAAGACTGGCCTTGCCATGTGGCTGAGCCTGTAGCCATCTATGGCTCCTCTGAGCCTTTGGTCTTATCCTTGGCAAACCCAGGGCAACACTGTGGGCAGAAGACACATTCCTATGACAGGTTGCAGGTATCCCCTGTAACATGTCATCCAATCCAGCAACATAACATTTGGGGAACTGGAAAGCATTTCTTTCCATATACATTTTTTTTTGTTTTAAAAAAGACATACTCTCTTCCTGTCTTCAGTACCTTGAACTTTCAAATAGTCACCATACTGGTAGAGAAAAGGCTGTAAAAGTTAGGGGAAGCATGTGAAGTGGAGAAAGACGCAGCTCAGGGCAGGAAGTAAAACTGTTGAAAGAGGCAGCTGGGGGCTACCACCAGAACTCAAGCTCTGGCCTCACTGCCTGTGGAAGAACTGCACCTTATTAGGGGTGGCCACTGCAGTAGTCCTCCCAGGCTCCTGAGTATCAAGTGCAGCCTCAAAAGAAAAATGCTGGGACATCTGAGCTGTCCTGGCATGTCATGCTGATGGAGTACTGTCTATAAACAGTCTCGGTTTAACCCTTGCACCAAAAATCTCTATCAGTTCATGCCCTTCTCCATTTCCCGCTGTTGTTAGCGTAAAACCCAGGCAGGCACCTTCTTTGTGTGCATGTTTTGGCTCCTGCCCTGCTGGCCTCGCTGCTCCTGGTGTTGACTGCATTCTAGCCACACCGCTTGCTCTTCTGAGGGTCTTTGTCCCTTCTCACATTGTCCCCAACACTGCTGAGCTCTTCTCCCAGCTGTGGCAATTTCATTACTCCAGGTCACATGTCATCTCGTGGGAGATGTCACACCATGGACCCTCAGTAAAATATCTGTCACCCTACAGACCCACTATGTGGAGTCCCTGCTGTCTGAAACATCACCAGCTGTTGCTCCATGAGTCCAACAGGGGTCAAGTGGCATTTTTCCTGCTTCCTTGGAATTACTGGTGAGGCCCAGAGCTGAGGGCACAAGCTATAGAGTGTTTCCATCCAAGCACATGGGACTGTAGGAGAGGGGCCAGCCAAAGATGCCACTGAGAGAACCAGCTGAGGGTGCAGAGAGGCACTTTGGGACAATGCAGTGTTTGTGGTGACAAATCACAACCCTCAACCCCCAGGCTGAGGGAAAGTGGCTTCTTGAGAACTGCTCACAGTGGCAGCACCCGTGCAGGGTCTATGCTACTACTGTGTGGCCAGTCCACATTGCCCAAGCAGGAGACTAAGATGTCCTGTGTGTGCTGTGTCACCCTACATAGTGACACGGGACTATGCCAGGGCTACATAGAGAGGTCTTGTCCCAAAACACCAAAAAAAAGAAAAAAAAAAGAAAAAGAAGAGAAAGAAAAAGAATGACTTTAATCCCAGCACTCAGGAGGTAGAGGCAGGCGGGTTTTTGAGTTCAAAGCCAGCCTGGTCTATAGAGCGAGTTCCAGGACAGCCAGGGCTACACAGAGAAACCCTGTCTCAGAAACAAAACAAAAAGAATGAATGAATAAATAAACAATTTAATTCTCCAAAGTGTGAGTATAGAAGCCTGGTTTATTTTATGTTTTTAATGAATTTCCTGCCTTCCTTACTTCCCCATCTCAATGACCAGTCTATAAAAATATGGCTCAATTGTACTGTGTGCGCAAATGTAATAAAAGGTTTTGAGGGCCATACACCAAAGTGATAGTGGTAGAAATCTTTCAGTTGAAGAGAGCTAGGACTCAAGCGATGATCTGAACAGTACCCACAAGTTTTGCTCTGTAATTTGGTCTTATCTGACCTTTTGTGATTATGCCTTCTATTTTAATTATGTAGTTTTAATTTTTTTGTGTGTATGAGTGTTTTGCCTGCATGTATGTCTGTGAACCACCCATGGCTTCTGATGCCCTGGAACTGGAGTTACAGATGGCTATGAGCAGCACCATATGGGTGCTGGGAATCAAACCCCAGTCCTCTAGAAGAACAGCCAGTGCTCCCAACCTCTAAGCCATCTCTCCAGCCCGATTATGTATTCCTTTATCACATGATAAAAGCATCCTGAGCCCATCTTTTAAAAGATTTTTGAATTTTGCTTTATTTTATAATTATGAGTGTTTTGCCTACATGTACATCTATGTACCATATGCATGCCTATTGACCTTAGAGGTCAAAAGAAGGCGTCGGACCCTCTGAAATTACAAGGTAGCTGAGCTTATTTTATAGATGCCTGGAGAAAGCCTCATGTGCCTAGCCCCAGTAACATATGGTTCCCTTTGAGTGGAATGTGAGGAGGAGAGACCATTGGGATGTATTGTCTCAGTGTTCCTCTAGCTCCAGCTCATTCCATACCCTCTTGTAAGTAAGCAGCACTCTGTGCCTGTTCCTTCCTGAAGGAGTTCTTTGAACAGTAGCTCCATCACTTTTGGAGGCTTCAGTTTAATGTTCAACCTGGAATGGGTTGGTGTGCTCTGCTCAACTCCTGTTCTATTTATAAATGTTTTTATTCCACTCAGGGGAAACAGGTCCTTGTCACCAGAAAGAATGGGCCTGTGGTGGCTCTGTAGGTGGGAAATGGTGCAGCATGGCCTGGGCATGGCTGAGGGGAAGCAGGCAGGCGGGCCTACTGCTTTCTGAGACATACAAGAGGGATTCCCCACCCTGCCAGTCAGCAGCAGGACTGGTCCTGCTCTAAGCAAGGCTGTCCCACTGGGACACATTAACATCAATCTAATATGGTTACAGTGCTGGCAGCAATTTTGGGTTTTGTGTGTAGTGCCAGACACTAAACTCCAGGCCCCAGTCGTGGCTAAGTACTGTACCACTTAGCTACACCCTCAACCCCAGAAAACCTTGTTTTAATTAATGATTAATTGAAGGAAGCCCCTAAGACTTATCAGTAGGGGTTGAAGAGATGGCTTAGTGATTAAGAGAATGTGGTTTCAGTCTCAGCACCCACATGGTGCCTCAAGGCTGACTGCCATTCCAGTTCCAGGGGATCCAGTGCCTTTTTCTGGCATGCACGTGAACACTCATGCACATAAAATAAAAAGAATCAACTCCTTTTCTTCTCTTTTACCTTTTTTTTTTTTTTTTTTTTTTTGAAGTAGTGTCTCACTGTGTAGCTCTGACTGTCCTGGAATTCCCTATGTAGACCAGGCTAGCCATGAACTCACAGAGCTCTGCCTGCCTCTGCTTCTCAAATGCTGGGATTAAAGGTGTGTGCCACCACACCTCGCCCTTTTTCTTTTTTTAAGTGGAAGGAATTCTGGACCAGGGTATGGTGATGCACAGCTGTAATTTCACAACTTAGGAGGCCATGGCAGGATGATCACAGCTTCAAGGTGTGATACATAGTAAGACTATCATTTTAAGAAAAAAAAAAATGTGCTGGGCAGTGGTGGTGCACACCTTTAATCCCAGCACTCGGGAGGCAGAGGCAGGCGGATCTCTGTGAGGCCAGCCTGGTCTACAGTGAATAATTCTAGGACAGCCAAAGCTACACAAAGAAACCTGTCTGGAAAAAACAAATAACAAATAAATTTTTTTTTTGTTTTTTTGTTTTGTTTTTTTTCCGAGACAGGGTTTCTCTGTAGTTTTGCGCCTTTCCTGGAACTCACTTGGTAGCCCAGGCTGGCCTCGAACTCACAGAGATCCACCTGGCTCTGCCTCCCGAGTGCTGGGATTAAAGGCGTGCGCCACCACCGCCCGGCCAAATAAATTCTTTTTAACTCAGTAGCATTGTCTTTCTCTGTTCATTTTCTACTTGAATTTTCTAGATACAAGAGACATCAGAGTGGTGTGGATATTTACCTAAACTCACTGAAGACAACTCCCGTGACGTTGGATGCTCTACCATCCAGATCAGGAAGGTCAGCCCAGTGTGCATGAGTGACTGTTGGGCTTGTGTGCTCGGGACAGCAGTCTTTGGTGGAAGCTTTAGAACCCAAACCAATGGGCTGTTATAGCTCACTGTGCATGGCCTCTTAGTATATCTCACCCTTTGCCTTTCCCCTCTACTGTCCTCTCCTCTCCCTTCCCCTCCCTTCCTTCCCCTCCCCTCCACTGCCCTCTCTCCTCCTCTCCCTTCTTCTCTCTCTTGTTTTCTGGGCGGGAGGCCAAACCTTAGGCCTCACGCACACTAGACAGGTGCTCAGGTCCTCTACAGCTGAGCTCCGTTCAGCCCTTGCTTTTTTTTTTTTTTTAATTTTATGTGTATGAGTGTCTTACTTCCATATATATATATTTATTTGCACCACATAATGCCTTTATTTTACGTTTATTTTTTATAATAATTTTCTCATTTTTGAAATTATAATGTAATTACATCATTTCCCCTTGGCCTCTTTTCTTTGTTACACACATACACTTCTAAATATGTAGCTATGACCTGTTTAGTCCATGTAATGTTTACTTGTATAGATATGATTTCAAGACTGACCACTTGGCCTTGAATGACCGACTGGGGCTCTTCCACAGGGAAGACTGTTTCTCCCACCCTCAGTGCTCCTTAGTTGCATGTACTGCTCTGTCTAAGGCTAAGATGTTTGTTTAGACAGGGTCTCACTGGGTAGCCCTGTCTGGCTCAGAACTCACTGTTAGGTGACCAGATTAACTTTGAACTCACAAAGAGTCCCTGTCTGCCAAGCACTGGGATTAAAGGCATGCAACACTTTGCTCTGCAAGATTTATTTTTACTTTATTTATTTATTTTTTATTGGTTTTTAGAGACAGGGTTCCTCTGTGTAATAGACCTGGTTGTCCTGGAACTCACTCTGTAGACCAGACTGGCCTCGAACTCACAGAGATCCACCTGCCTCTGCCTCCCAAATGCTGGGAATAAAGGTGTGCATTTTTTTTAATGTATTTTACTTTATGTGTATGAGTGCTTGGCCTGTATGTATATATGTGCACCATGTGGTGCCTGGTGCCCATGGAAGCCAGAAGAGGGTGTCCTGGAACTGGAGTTGTGAGCCACCATTGTTGTAGAATATTCCTTTACACTGTGTGAAGACGTGTCACTGTGATTGGTTTTATAAAAGCTAAACGGCCAATAGCTATGCAGGAGGTATAGGTGGGACTTCTGGACAGAGAGAGCTCTGGGAAGAAGACAGGCAGAGTCGCCAGCCAGATGCAGAATAACCATTCACACAATGGTATGCAGATACAGATGCACATGTAGGCAAAACACCCATACAGGTAAATAAAATTAATTTTAAATGTGTTTTGTTTTTGTTTTTGGAGACAGGGTTTCTCTGTGTAACAGCCCTAGCTGTCCTGGAACTCACTTTGTAGACTAGGCTGACCTCAAACTCCCAGAGATCCACCTATCTCTGCCTCCCGAGTGCTAGGATTAAAAGCGTGCATCGCCACCACTTGGCTTAAATTTTAAATGTTTTTTTTTATAATTTATTTTTATTTTTTGTGCATTGGTATTTTGCCTGCATATATGTCTGTGTAAGGATGCCAGATCCCCTTGAAACTGGAGTTACAGACAGTTGTAAGCCACCATGTGAGTGCCGGGAATTGAACCCCAATCCTCTGGAAGAGTAGCCAGTGCTCTTAACCACTGAGCCGTCTCTTCAGACCCCCTTAAATGTTTTTTAAAAAGAAGATTTATGCCTGGCAGTTGTGGTCCACATTTTTAATCCCAGCACTCTGGAGGCAGAACTCTATGAGACCAACCTGGTCTACAGAGCAAGTTCTAGGACAGCCAAGGCTACACAGAGAAACTCTGTCTTCAAAAACCAAAAAAAGCCGGGCGGTGGTGGCGCACGCCTTTAATCCCAGCACCCGGGAGGCAGAGCCAGGCGGATCTCTGTGAGTTCGAGGCCAGCCTGGGCTACCAAGTGAGTCCCAGGTAAAGGCGCAAAGCTACACAGAGAAACCCTGTCTGGAAAAACCAAAAAAAAAAAAAACCAAAAAAAAAGCTGGGCGGTGGTGGCGCCCGCCTTTAATCCCAGCACTTGGGAGGCAGAGCCAGGTGGATCTCTGTGAGTTCAAGGCCAGCCTGGGCTACAGTGTGAGTTGCAGGACAGGCTCCAAAGCTACACAGAGAAACCCTGTCTCGAAAAACCAAAAAAAAGGGAAGATTTATTTTGTTGTTTTATGTATGAGCATATCTCTGCATTTGTTTATATAACCCACGTGTGTGCTTTGCCTGCAGAGGCCGGAAGAGGATGCTGGATCCCTTAGAACCGGAGTTACAGACAGTTTTAAACTCCCTGCACTGGCTGCTGGGAATTGAACTCAGGTCCTCTGGAAGAGAAGTAAGCACACTTAGCCATGCAGCCATCCCTCGGGCCCACAGAGTCAGGCTTTCAGAGCATTACTGGGAACCTGTCCCTAGCTTTTCGTTACTTGGAACACATGGCCTGTTCTGGTAACAAATAAATTCTGTGAAAAGAAGTTGTTCTCCAGAGTTAGTGATAACTTCTCAGAGCAATTATTTATCTTCCTGGTCCTTTGTAGACAAATAAAAACAAAGCCAAGTTCTTTAAAATGTGAACTTTCAGTGCATGTACTGAAACTGCTTTCAATCCTGCAGGCTGTGTGGGATGACTGACTGGTTGACGGGAAGCCCCCAAGGACGGGGCTGCAAGATTTAGCTGCTCTTAGTTCCCTTCCTGGCAGCCTGGGAACTACCTCCCAGGCACCTCAGGCGCCATGGACTCCCCAGGGTACAACTGCTTTGTGGACAGGGACAAGATGGACGCATCCATCCAGGACCTGGGGCCAAAGGAACTGAACTGCACGGAGCTGCAGGAGTTGAAGCAGCTGGCACGACAGGGCTACTGGGCTCAGAGCCACGCCCTGCGGGGGAAAGTGTACCAGCGCCTGATCCGGGACATCCCCTGCCGCACAGTCACACCTGACGCCAGCGTGTACAGTGATATCGTGGGCAAGATTGTGGGCAAGCACAGCAGCAGTAGCTTGCCCTTGCCTGAGTTTGTGGACAACACTCAGGTGCCCACCTACTGCCTGAACACACGGGGTGAGGGGGCTGTGCGCAAGATTCTCCTGTGTATCGCCAATCAGTTCCCCGACATCTCCTTCTGCCCTGCCCTGCCTGCTGTGGTGGCCCTGCTGCTGCACTACAGCATTGACGAGGCTGAGTGTTTCGAAAAGGCCTGCCGCATCCTAGCTTGCAATGACCCCAGCAAGAAGCTCATTGACCAGAGCTTCCTGGCCTTCGAGTCCTCCTGCATGACATTTGGGGACCTGGTGAACAAGTACTGCCAGGCGGCCCACAAACTGATGGTGGCTGTGTCAGAGGACGTCCTGCAGGTCTATTCTGACTGGCAGCGATGGCTGTTTGGGGAGCTGCCCCTCAATTACTTTGCTCGTGTTTTTGATGTCTTCCTTGTAGAAGGCTACAAGGTATTGTACCGCGTCGCTCTGGCCATCCTCAAGTTCTTCCACAAGGTGAGAGCAGGACAGCCCATCGAGTCAGACAATGTGAAGCAAGACATCCGCATATTTGTCAAGGACATTGCCAAGACAGTGTCCCCTGAGAAACTACTAGAGAAGGCTTTTGCCATCCGCCTGTTTTCCCGAAAGGAGATCCAGCTCTTGCAACTGGCCAATGAGAAAGCACTAAAGCAGAAGGGCATTACTGTCAAACAGAAGAGGTAGGTGGGCCCCAGGATCATGTGCATGCGTGCTCATGCCTCTGGGGTGTGAGGGGTGGGGGGGTGGGGGGGTGTGGTAAGCATATTGCATCTGTGGAATGGGGAGCTTTAGTGGAATGCATCCCCGAGATCTGAACATGAGCTTGTCCTGCCAGCCATTGGTCTGCTTCTAGTCTCTGTCTGTCTGCCTGCTCACAAGTGGACAGAAAGACACTAGAAACCAGGAAGCTTTGTAGTTATGGCCGCAGTTGCCAGGCTGGCCTCCTAGGGGGTCACATCAGAACAGCTCCTGCTCTGCCCTTCCAGCTCCAAGCTTCATGACTGGCATTCCTCTGAATGCTGATTGTGGGCTCCCTGTCCCTGGGGTCCAGGGTTGGGAGCGTCATGGTGTCTGACACCTGACACGGTGTGGAGTCCACTTTCTCCTAGGCCCAAAGGAAGGCGTACCTGGGGTCCGTGCCCACCACTAACCTTGCCTCGTCTGTTTTATTTTTCTTCTTCTCCGTGTCCGTTGCTTCCTCCTGTTTCTCAGTGTCTCACTTTCTAAAAGGTAGGTCTGAAACCACACCTCGAACGAAGCTTGGCCTCTCTGCCCTGCCTCTCTTCAGCCAGCTCTAGCTTGGCGGCTCACTGTCTCCCAAGCCCACCTGGCTCTCCTGGGTGGCTTCTGCTTGCTGCTTTAGCCTGATTGATACAGGCACTATCTGTCTGTCTGTCTGTCCATCTTTCTGCCTCACTTGTGAGATCTGCTGGTGCTTGGCTGGCTCTGCAGCCTTACCTTGCTGGAGGCTTACTTCATTTGTCCTGGTTTCTTAAAGAAAAGGGCTTTTGTCCCCCATACCCCCAGGCTGGGCACTCTCCCATGTATCAGGTGGGAGGTGGGGCTTCTAGGAATCATTTCACCCCATTTCCAGCTGGCACCTAGAGCCAGACTGCAAACCTGGCTGAGTAGGTGAGATATCCTTTCCAGACTATGTACCAAAATGAAACTGTGGTGCCTCAGGGTAGGGGTACAGTCAGGACTGGTCACTGTGCGCTCTCACCCCTCCCCACTTTTCCCAGGCAGTTTGTGCACTTGGCTGTCCATGCAGAAAACTTCCGCTCAGAGATCGTCAGCGTGAAGGAGATGAGAGACATCTGGTCCTGGATCCCCGAGCGTTTTGCCCTCTGCCAACCCCTCTTACTCTTCTCCTCGCTGCAGCATGGGTACAGCCTAACCAGGTGAGGCGCCCCAAGACTTTGAGATCACATCCTGTACTCCACGAAGTCATAGGGTGGCTGGAAGTGAGCCTTTGAACCTAAGATCCTGATAAGGTCTTGCCTCATCCTCTGAGGCCTGAGAATCAGGAGCATCTTTTCCTGGCCCTCCATCATTCCCAGGCTTTGGAGACTTTGGAAGTTGTTGCTGTGTGCACCACACCTGAGGGCACTATGTGGTTATCATAAAGATACAAAAATCAAAGTTCCCATCTTAGGAGCTCAGAATTACTAGGGAGATGTCACCTGAACAGCTGGCCCTGGCCTCCCTGCTACCCTCACCCACTGTGTCCATCACAAGCCTGGGCCAGGTACCCCTTTTTGAGGCTCTGACTGTCTGTGTAAGCACCTGTACTCTGGTAGGGATGCACTGCCCTCCAAGCTACATCTGTTGGGGTCCAGTTAGTATCCAAATCTCAAATGACAGTTCACAAACTCTGGACCACCCTCCCCCAGCCCCAGGTCCCCTGCCTGCAACCACACAAGCATTTCAGCTTAGTTAAGAGTCACTTCTCGGCCGGGCGGTGGTGGCGCACGCCTTTAATCCCAGCACTTGGGAGGCAGAGCCAGGCGGATCTCTTGTGAGTTCGAGGCCAGCCTGGGCTACCAAGTGAGTTCCAGGAAAGGCGCAAAGCTACACAGAGAAACCCTGTCTCGAAAAACCGAAAAAAAAAAAAAAAGAGTCACTTCTCAACAGGTGGTGGTGGTGCACGCCTTTAATCCCAGAACTCGGAGGCAGAGGCAGGCAGCCTCTGAGTTCAAGGCCAGCCTGGTCTACAAAGCGAGTTCCAGGACAGCCAAGACTACACAGAGGAACCCCCCACCCCCATCCCCCCATCTTCCCCCAGCCCCCAGGGACACCTGAGCGTCACAGTGGCAAGCCTCTCACCTTCCTCACACGTCCAGGGCCGAGCTTTCCTGTTTCTCGGGTTCCTGCTTCCCTGTTGCTCTCAGCACTCAGACTTGCCTGACGGAGAATGCACAGTGACTCTCCTTCGTCATACCAGGGCAGCCTGGCCTGGCCAAAGTGACATTGCAAGGTCCTTAGCTACTGTGGACAGAGGTGATGGGAAAAGAGCATAGTCCCTAGGCCTCTCTACCCTAGACCTTGGGACTAACAGTTGGCGGTGCTAACGGGAGGTGCCAGGGAGGACATGCAAGGTAGCACGTGTGGTCTCTGCCCCCAGGTTCTATTTCCAGTGTGAAGGACACGAGCCTACCCTCCTGCTCATCAAGACCACGCAAAAGGAGGTGAGGAGCCTGGTTTCCAGGGCTGATGCCAAGACCTGAGTGTGAGATATGGTCCCAGCATGGAGCTTGTTCTCATGCTTGAGAGCCACAGGGGAAGACAAAATGACCCAGAGGGTACACTTCCCTAAACTCAGTCCTCTCCCACAACCTTTTGCCCTCGGTGGGAAAATGCAATATAGAACACCCCTAAGCTGGGACTTGGTCACTCAGCATGCCTGAACGAGAGGACGTTCCTGAGGACAGGAAGCTACCCCAGAAAGTCTCACCCAGCCTTCCTCCCTAGGTTTGTGGTGCTTACCTGTCAACAGACTGGAGCGAAAGAAATAAGTTTGGAGGCAAACTGAGCTTCTTTGGAACCGGAGAATGCTTTGTTTTTAGGGTGAGTTGGGCTGACTGTGGGGTCCCTCTGCCTACTCCTTCCTTCCTCAGCTATTCCTGTCTCTCCAGACATTCTGAGCACTTAATCGGCCCTCCAAGACTGAGAGTAGGTCTAGCATCTGTCCTGGGCCAGGGTATTGTCTGACCCCTGGCTGTCACAGAGGCTGTCTGGAGGGCTTCAGAAATCACCAGGCCCCATGTACCTGGGCACCCCAGCACAAGAAACTTGGTTCATTTTCATTGTAGCAAATATCCTAAAACACACTCTTTATTTACTTCTGGATTTTGCTGGGTAGACTATGAGCACCCCAAGAGCTAGCAGGGCCTCATCTGCTAATGTGTGCCATTGCCACAGTCCCTCACTTAGGGACTCACCTCATAGCAGATTCTCCACCCACAGGATGGAGATGGGCTGTAGCTTTGGAGCAGGAAGGCCCAGTGAGGTACCACATGACAGTTACTCTGACTGCCACCCATTCACCCCCAGCTGCAGCCAGAGGTGCAGCGTTACGAGTGGGTGGTCATCAAGCATCCAGAGCTGACTAGGCCGACATCCTTCAAGTCCTCAGAGGCTGCAGCCGCTCCTTCCCTCCTCAGCCACTCCGTCTCTTCAGACCCTGCTGATCGGCTCTCGCCTTTCCTGGCTGCCCGGCACTTCAACCTGCCCTCCAAGACTGAATCCATGTTCATGGCTGGGGGCAATGACTGCCTCATCATTGGTAGGCACCTGTTCCCTTCAGTCTGGGAGGAGGACATGGGGGATCGAGGGTAGCTGAAGATGGGAGGTAAGGGCTAGCAAACCGTCATGAGCCAGGCCAGCCAGGCCCAGGTAAACTTGTAGTCCAAAGATCTCTTTACTGAGGTTGCTATTTAACAGACCCTTCAGGGACAGAGATGGTGGGGTGTCTAGGGATGGCGTGGTGGTTAGAGCAGAAGGACATCTGTTCCCTTGCATACCCCACAGGGGGAGGAGGTGGCCAAGCACTCTACATTGACGGGGATCTGAACCGCGGCCGCACTGGACACTGCGACACCTTCAACAACCAACCCCTCTGCTCTGAGAACTTCCTCATCTCAGCTGTGGAGGCCTGGGGCTTCCAAGACCCTGACACCCAGTGATGGGTCTGCGTTGATGGTGACTGAGCCACGTTGTGGAGTGATGGGGTGGAGGCCAAGCTGCCTCTTGAGGGAGCAGGGAGTGAGTGAGACACCACCCCTATGAAGCAGTCAGGCTTGGTGCACAGTGGGGACGTCACTGTCAAGAGGCAAGCCTGGCTGCTGCTTGGACTGGCTGCCCCTCTGCCTTGGACTTGTTAGGCTAGGACCCTGAACCCTCCTACTTCTGAGCTCGAGGGGCTGTTATGCTCCCAACGCTGTCCAGTGTCTGCCCTCACCCAGGGTCCTGGCTCTGCGTGGAGGGGTCCTGTGCCCAAGATTGCCCGGGGCTATGTTGCTCTGCCCCTGGGCCTCAGCCCTTTGTAGGGAAAGGGCAAAGGAATCTTATTGCCAAATGTGGGTCTGTGGTGCCCCCTGCTGGTTCTTTGTCTCTGTAGCGCCAAAGAACCAGCCTCTGCCCTCTGAGGCTTCTCTGAGCTACATTTGCTGCTCCAGGATAGGATGGGGAGGGCAGTATTGTACAGGGCTCTGCAGCTTCTCCTGTCCTAGAAGGATGAGGGCTGGAGAGCTGTCTTTTGTCTTTGAGTTTCTGCAGAGCCGGAAGCTCTTGCTGCACCTCACTGCAAGTCCACACCTGAAGGTGGCTTCTGGAGAGACGTTCTTTGACCAACCTGGCCAGTCAGCTCCCTCTCCAGGGTTCTCCTCAGAGATAACTGGGCTCAGTGAGGCTTTTGCCCTCCTTCTGTACATCCCTGTAGCCTCCTTGAACTCCTGTAGTCTTGGTGACTCCTGTGTTTCCTTTCCTTGTCACTGTAGTGACTGAGGCCCAGGATCACCCGAACCCTAGCATGGCATGCTTGTCTCAGTTCAGCCTTCTGCCTTCTCCTCAGGCCTGTGGTTCCCTGTTCACACAGCATTTGATAAACCAGTGTGACTTTCAGATCCCTGTGCTGTCACGATGACTAGCCACATGCCATGTTTTCTGTGTGCTACCCCTTCTCCCTTCCAGTCTCTGGATGTCTGTGCTTCTTGAGCCCTGTACTGGCCTGGCACACAGTAGATGCCGAGGGAAGTACCACCTCCGAGAGGACTGCAGCAAGCTCCATTTCCCCAGAACCTCCCTCCCACCCTGTGACCTCCCTCAGCTGGTCCTGAGGGTCTAGGCACCACAGAGGAAGAGAGAAGCAGCAGTGGCCCAAATGACTGTGCTGGGGCCACAGAAGTCTGGATCAAACGGACAGTTGCCTGGTTCCCCCATGACTATGTCTGGCATGCCTCAGTCAGCACTGGTTCCCACATGACTGTGTCTGGCATATCTCAGTCAGCATGTGTCACACCAGTGCTTGTCTCCGTGATGATACTCTTGCTGTGGGAGGTTTATCCTTCCCTGTTCCATCTATTCCCATCAACTCCTAGCAAGACCACATGGCACAAGAGGCAGGGCAGGGAGGAGCCCTCTGAAATTTTGGGCCATCTGGTAAACCTGAATAGAACTTTGGATTCTGCACAGTGGACCAGTTCTCCCACCATGCTGGCTTCTGGGACAGGTCGATTTGACTCTCTAGAGGGAAGAAGTACTGGGAGGAACTGTTGTTGCTCACCTCCACAGAGTGTTGTAGCCCCTACCACCCATTCCTCTGAGCCCATGGTCCCAGGCCTGTACTCCCAACTTTGGTGTTCACTTAACACCATCTTGGTTTTTGTTATTGTTGTTTCTGGCAAGATCTTACTAGGTAACCTATTTGGTCTGGAACTCCCTATGTAGCCCAGGCTAGCCTGGAAATTCCTATGTAGCCTAGGTTGGCCTCAAAATCATGACCTGCCTCAGCCTCCTAAGTGCCAGGCTCAGAGGCATTAAGCTCAGCACTTTCCTCTTGCATTAACTCTGAGGCCCCCAGGACTTTTCCAGGCTGTGCCATCATGATGCTCACCCATGCATTGCCACTGGGACTCAGTCGCCTGTCAGAAGCAGATTAAGTTAACTGGGCAGTGTGTGCAGGGCCCTGCAAGGTTCCTGACTGGGTAGTAGATTTCTTGTTTTGTGTGGCCCCCACTGGCCTTCCTGGGGGTCCAGCCTAAGAAGACTGGTCGATACTTAGTCATGATTACATCATAAGCAAAGTTCTTAGCTTTTACCCACAGCATACTCAGTTTTTTAAATTTAATATCTCCTTTTTTCTGACTTTTCTACCAAAAGGCGTGTGTCATTCTCTTTATATTTTTATTCTTATCTGATACTGAGTGTTTCTACTTAGTATTTATTAATATTTTCTATTATTTATTAGCTTTTAATGTTAAAAACAAGCCAAAACTTGATGGCATTGTATAAGAAGTCATATTTTATCAGCATTTAAATATTTGTTTTTAAAACAAATATTGAACTTAATGTAAGCCAGTTCGTTAAACTAACTAACTAACTTAGTTAATATAAACCGTATGCCTTGGGGACCTCAGAAAACCAGTTTGTACTTTGGTTTTGTTTGTGACAAGAGCAGTGTCATGTAGCTTGGGCTAGCCTTGAACTCTCTTTGTGCTCCCACACCCCACATGTTCGGATCACAGGTGTACCACTTTGCGTGGTAATGATCAGCTCATTTTAAAAATAATTTATGATACAACAGTGGGTGTTTGCATTTTAAGAATTTCTCTATTGTAATTATTGAACTAAATTACTATTTTAGTTTTTCTTATGTTTGTGAGCTGCCACGTGGGTGCTGGGCATTGAACCTGGGTCCTCTGCAAGAGCAGCCAGTGCTCCTAACCACTGAGCCACCTCTCCAGCCCCACAGTTTTTCCTGTTTTTGTCATCTGCTTGCTTTTATTTTTCCAGTTTTTCAGAGCACTTTGTTTTAGAGCACTCTGGATTTCACATTTTCAAGTTTTTCTTACTCATTTCCTGAGTCATTTCCTAGAGCTTTTCTGGTCTCCTTAAGTATTTTATATTTAATAATTTAGGTTTGTACTCATTTTTTTAAGATGCTGAGGATTGAACCTAGGATCCTATACATGCTAGGCAAATTCTCTACCACTGAACTATGTCCTCAGCCCTACGTTTGTGTCTTGAACTGGTTTTCAGTTTACATCAGAATTGCTGAGATGGAAGTTTTTGTAGACCCTCATCCACTTGTCCACTGTAAATATCAAAACAATTGACCAAGTGACATGCCTCAATCCCAGCAATCAGAAGGTAGAGGCAGGTGGATCTCTGTGAGTTTGAGCCCAGCCTATTCCAGACCAGCCAAGACTACATAATGAGACCTTGTCTTAAAAAATATTGGAGGGAGGGGTTGTTTGGAGGGAAGGCTCAGCATTTAGAGCACTGGCTGCTCTTCCAGAAGATTCCCAGCACCTACATGGCAGCTCACAATCATCTATAAATCCAGTTCCCAGGGATCCAGGCCCTTTTTGGCCTCTGTGGGCATTGTACCAATGTGGTACATAGACATAAATATAGACAAACCACTCATACACATAAAATAAAAGTAAAGGAAAAAATAAAACAGAAATTAGCATAGATGCAGCCCCTGACTAAACCTCAAGCCTGTTTTTCCACTTGCCAGGAATAAATGCAGTTTTTACAGATACCTGCTTTCTCACATTTTCACTGAATCTACAAAATTGTCCAACTCAAAAGACTGTACTAGGTTTTTGGGTTGTTTTGTTTGTTTGTTTTGTTTTGTTTTAAGCCACCAATCAGGATGTAGTTCTCTATAGAACTATGTACTACCTCCAAGGTAGCTAGCTCCTCAGTCGCTCTCCAGGTTTATGTGGCAAAATTATTATGTCAAGCATGATGTCAAGCAGGCCTTAGAGTTCTTTCCCACAGTATTTACATCAGGCCAGAAAGCATGTGAAGTAGAAAAGATCATTTTGGTATGAAGATTCTTACCTGGGCCTGGTGTGTGTCAAACCCCAGCACATGGAAAGTGGAGGCAGGTAGAGCAGGTCATCCTTAGTTACATACTGAGTTCAAGGCTAGCTTTGGCTACAGGAGACCTTGCCTCAAGCAAAACAAAACAAACAAAAAAAGGAACGTTTTTTTTTATGACCTCCCTCATTACCTCAGTTTCTGATTGTGCTGTTGGTATTGGGTGCAGTCATGTGGTACATTACTACAGACAAAATGATTGCTGTGTGCAGGCTCAGTCATTTTCTTGAACTGCATGGAATTTGTGAACATTGTATCTAGGACTAAGGGAGCGGTCAGTGGACATATAGACCCACTGACCTGTGACATGGCAGGAACCAACCAACCAGAACAGTTCCATGTAGACTGGTATCCACTGGTGTGCCACTTGGTTGCTCTGCAGCTGCTGCCTGGCTGTTGTCCTACATGAAGAGACTGGAGCACCTCTGCTGTGTATTGTATCATAGCATTTGACATGTGGTCAGAAGCTTGTAAGCTGGAGTGGAGAGATGGCTTATCCATTAAGACGCCAGCTGGGCGAGGTGGTGCCCGCCTTTAGTCCCAGCACTCAGGAGGCAGAGGCGGGTGGATCTCTGAGTTCGAGGTCAACCAGGGCTACACAGAGGAACCCTGTCTTGGGGCAGGGGGAACACTTGCTCTTCCAGAGAACCCAGGCCTCTGGGCACTGCATACATGTGATGCACAGACATACATGTAGGCAAAAACAACCATGCACATAAAAATAAAGCTTAAAAAGTTTATAAGCTGAGGACTGAAGGGGAAGAATTTCCAAGCATAGTTTTACCTTTTGAATCTTGTCATTACGGGCTTTGACAAGTGGTCACCAATTGGGAGTCATGGTGCACACCTATAATCTCAGCACTCATGAGACTGAGGCCGGAGGATTGCAAGCATGAAGCTAATCTGACTTAACTGAGTTTCAGGCCAGCCTAGCTTACATAGTAAGACCTTATCTTAAAAACAAAGAAACAACAAAAAACCACGTGGTCCCTGGCTGACCCTGTGGAGCATCTGAATGAGTGTACTACACATGCTCATACTTACAGAACAAAAGTGTGGATTTGCAGCGAAATATAATTTTGTAATGTGAAATAAGTGATTTGGTGATGTTTGGTTAGTGTTAATAAAAGTCCTGAATAAAACTGATAACTGATGAAGAGGCATCTGTGTATGTGCCAATGAGAGTACAGGATAGGAAGTCCCTGGCACTGTTCTCCCTGGATATACTGTCCATCTCTTGAGGAGAAAGCATAGACTAAGGATCCGTTGCCCTCTTCAAGTAGAGGGGAAGCCTGCACCAGCCCATCATAGCCGTGACAAGGAGACCCCACAGAGACAGGTACATATTCTGCTATGTTTGCCATTGCCAGCAGTGGTAACCTGCTTCCTGACCTTGCTGCTTCTCTGCCTTTTGGCCCTCAGGGTTTGGCATTTGGAGTAAATGAAGAATGGAGAAGAACCACTGTGAGGATTATCAGATGTCTCCAGTCATCTTGGTTCCTGTGAAACGTAAAATTCAACATCAAAAGCAAACATAGCTGGAGAGATGGCTCAGGGGTTAAGAGCACGGGGCTGCTCTTCCAGAGGACCCTGGTTCAATTCCCAGCAACCACATGGCAGCTCACAACTGTCTGTAACTCCAGTTCCAGTGGATATGACACCCTCACACTAATGCACATAAAAGAAATCATTTTTTTTTAAAGAAGGGCGGTGGTACATACACCTTTAATCCCAGCACTTGGGAGGCAGAGGCAGGCAAATCTCTGTAAGTTGGAACCTAGCCTGATCCACAGAGTGAGTTCCAGGACAGCCAGGACTGTTGCACAGAAAAACTTTGTCTCAAATTTAAAAAAAAAAAAAAAATCAAACTCAAACTCACATTTCTCATTCAAAATGAGACTGTTACTTGGACATTTGCATAAGTTAATATTAACATTCTTTCCTAATGCTTTCTACTTTTTTTATGTTGTGATACTGAGAATTTTTTGGTTTTTCGAGACAGGGTTCCTCTGTGTAGTTTTGGTGGCCAGTCCTGGATCTCACTCTGTAGACCAGGCTGGCCTCGAGCTCACCGATATCGGCCTGGCTCTGCTTCCCAAGTGCTGGGACTAAAGGCGGTGTGCCACCACTGCCCGGCCAATACTGAGAATTTGATGTAGTGTCTTACACATACCACTGAGTTATATCCCCAGACTTTTTTTTTTTAACTTTTTTGCTTGAGACATGGTGTCCCTAAGGTGCCCAGGCTATCCTTCAACTCACTCTGTAGCCTAGACAGGCCTTGAACTTGTTGTCTTCTTCCTCAGCCTCCCAGGTAGGTGAGATTACAGGCCTGCACCACAAGGCCTAGCAGAACATTTTTTCTTTGAACGGTGCAGAAATGCTCACCTGCCCTGTCTAGTTCCTTGCTGTGAGGCTTCTGGGCACAGTTCCTGCCCTGTGCCTGAAGCCTGAAGCTGCTCTGGGACCCCGTTTGCTTCTCCATGAAATAGTGACTGTCCTCTTCTTCCCTAGTTCTCTTTCCCATATTGGCTAGAGGGTGGACCATGGCCTGTGATCTTCCCCTTTGCTGCTTCTTAACTCAAGGCTTTCCTGCTGTATCCAAGATTTCTCCAGAGGATGCTGGGAGGCCTGGCCCCCTTAGAGAAGGCCCTGTCTACTAGGCCAGGAGGTACTTGATCCCAGGGCTACCCCAGCATAGCTACAGTGAGCACTGGTTTTCTGCAGTTCCTCAGATGGATCCAGAACCTCTGTTAGGAAGCTTTGTAGCTCCTAAGGAAAACTCTGCTGTTCTGATGTCCACTGTGGACTGTCAGCCCTCCAGGGCAGGAGTGCAGCTGACTGCAGAATTAACAACTGCTGCATGGCTGGTGCAGGGCCGTTCCCAAGGTTTGTCCTGCACCCCCAGAATTCCCTAAAATAGCTCTTTCCTCTTACTGCCAGCGCTCAGAACCATGATTGGCACCAAAACACAGATGAACCACACTTGTAATCTCAAGATTTGAGAGTTAAAAGCCAGAGGATCGGGTTCAAGACCACCCTAGGGGGGCTGGGGAGATGGCTCAGTGGTTAAGAGCACTCACTGATTGCTCTTCCAGTGGTCCTGAGTTCATTTCCCAGCAACCACATGGTGCCTCACAACCACCTGTAATGAGATCTGGTGCCCTCTTCTGGCCTACAAAGACACATGCAGGCAGAACACTGTATATATAATAAATAAATACATCTTAAAAACAACAACAACAAAAAACCACCCTAGGTCACATAAGGTCCTCCCACACACACAAAACAATAAAAACTGGGTTTGTCTTCTTCCTGTCTTAAAACCTTTTCATATTTTAAGACTTAGAGGACCAGCTTTTCCTAGGACCCCAGGATGGAGCCCCCAACCACTCCTCCATCTGTACCCACCCCTACATCTAGCAACTCCATTTCTGACTTAGTCTTAGAGATTTGTTCAGGGACATGTTTGCTCCCACAATAGTCTCCCGGCTCATCTTTGCTTTCCAGATACTCAGTGTGTTCCCGTTATCAAGTGGGGAGACATAGGGTCAAAGGCAGACGGGGGAGGGGGGGGTGGGGGCACAAAAACTGAGGCTTTATTCAGCACCTGACAGGCTGCTTCCATAGCCAAGCTTACAATAAACTGGCTTTATTCTGAGAGCCTCACACTGCCCCCTAGTAGCAGAACTGCCTCTGCCTGCCTGTTCGCCTTCGGAGAGGAAGAACCAGTCAGGCCCCTTGTACCAACTCTTGAAGTTCGGAATTTTTGCTAGAAGTGAGAGGTTGCCCTGTCTTTGGGACCGTTCTAGCTGCCCTGCCTTGTAAAATACGTATCTATTGTCTCTCTTCGTGGTCTTATATGCAGATTTGCAAACCACCCTTGCCTATTCAAATTGTCCAGGAGCCAAGCAGCAAGAGGCAGATCCTGTGTTTATAGGACTTTATTTATTCATTCATTCATTCATTCATTTATTTATTTATTTTATCTATTTTTATTTTTAGACAAGGTCCTCCATATGTACGCTTTGGTTGTCCTGGAACTGGCTGTGAAGACCAGGCTGGCCTTGAACTCATAGAGATCCTCTTGCCCCTGCCTCCTCAGTGCTGGGGTTAAATGAGTGCGCCATGAGTAGCAAGGGTCTTATTTTGCTGTTTTTGTTTTTTTTTTAATTTGTGTGGGCGTTTTGCCTGCATGTATGCATGTGCACCACGAGACCAGAAGATGACGTCGGAGGGATCCCTTAGAACAGGAGTTAGAACTGCGAGGTGTCTTGTGGATACTTGGCACGGAACCCCGGCCCTCTGCCAGAGCAGCCAGTGCTCTTAACCACTGAGCCATCTCTCCAGCCCTGTTTTTATTTCTTTGATCCTTATTCTATAAGGTATTTATTTCTCGTGCTCAGGATTAAATTCAGGACCCCATGCATGCTAAACACGCACACTACCATCAAGTCCACACCCCCTCCCCCACCAGCCTTATCTAATTTTTTGGATAAGATCTGCCTATATGGCACAGGGGTTACAGATGTGCACTACCATGCATGGCTCAACTATTTTTGAGTTAAAAAAAAAATAGCTGCCTTGAATCATGTTTCCATTCCCCAAAATAGTGCAATTATCTATGCTTTTTTTGTTTCCACCAGCCATGTCCAGGCCACACATGGTTCTCTGTCACCGGGGTCAGAGAGCACAGTGCCATGATGCCATCTCTTTATAGTCTTGTCTGTCCCATGTTCTTGTGTTCCTCTCCCCCGAGCCCCAGGCCTCCGTGGTGCCTTGGAAGGAGGCTGCTGGCAAGGTTCCTCCTGAGACACACAGTTCTTGATGTTCCCTGAAAGGCTGCTGCTTCTCCTTCCCCCCCTGCTTCCTGCCCCTCCTCTTCCTGCCCCCCCTGCTTCCTGCCCTCCTCTTCCTGCCCTCGCCTTCCTCTTCTTCCTATTTTTCTCTTCTCCTTCTCCCCCCCCTCCCCCCGCCCCTTTTCTTTTTGTTTGTTTGTTTTGAGACAGTACTCCAGGCTGGCCTTGAATTTTCACTATTTCTGCCTCAATCCAAAGTGTTGCATGACAGCTGTGGACTACCAAACCTGGCCTTGCCTTCCTTGGAATAGCTTCCCCGGAGTAAGTCCATCTTTCCAGGTTAAGGCTGTTTGGGATGTCATTAACTTTCTCTGCCTCCTTTTCTGGGATTTCTGGAAAGAACCATGGGCTGAGGGTCCCACCTTCCATCTCTGTTCCTCTCATGGCTCTCCAACGTGCATTTTCCAAATCCCCTCTCTCTCAATGTCTGGAAATCCCCACTGACAGTGACAGAACTCATGACCTATGATTTCATGCCAAGGGGGGAAGTAACAGTGAGGGAGAAGGCAGGGATGCCCCTACAGTTTCTTTCCTAGAGTCCACTCAAAGTAAGGGCCCTGAACAGTGCCTGGAGATCCAGGTGGGAAGTATGAGATGGAATCAAGTGAAAGATGGTGGCTGAACTGGCAGTTTAGCCCACAAGCCCAGACCCTAAATCAGAATTCTAATCCCATCACTTGCTAGTTGGTGACTAGAGTGAGGGCTCTTAACCTTCCTAGGTTTGTGTCCCCACTGAATAAGAGTAGGTGTAGCAATGGCCTCAGATGCCTCAGCACATAGATGCTCTTAGCTGTGTTTCCTAAATTGGCTAGACACCCTGCTGGTGTCTGGAATACAAAAACTAAAGAGTCAAACAACCTCCACTGAAAGCAAGAAGGGGGTGTGAGGAAGACATTTAGAGAAGGGCAAGGAGAAACAGGAGGGGATGGCAGGAGGGCTTTCTGGAGGAAATGGGCTCTGAGTAATAAGTGAGGAGAAGAGGGAATTGGTGCTGGAGGATAAGAGACGGGCAAGGGGGAGCACACCAAGAAGTGTCTAGCATGTGATCAAGCACCAAAGAATTGTAGGATAGTCAGTGATGATTAGAAAAAAAAAAACTGTAAGGGCTGGAGCAATGGCTCAGTGGTTAAGAGCACTGTCTGCTCTTGCAGAGGACCTGGGTTCAATTCCCAGCAACCACATGACATCTCACAACCATCTGTAACTCCAGTTCCAGGAGATCTGGCACCCTCTCTGACTTCCTCCAGCACTAAACCACACAGGAAAAAAGAGCAGGGAGAGGGAGGAAGCATTGGAGACAGCCA